TTAGATGCCTGCCATTGCTGCCTCCCCAGTCCCTTCCCCTGAACTGGCGCTATTGAACCCAACTATCTCCAAAAGTCCCCCCCCTGGATTAATTTCTATTTGTCGGAAGATAGGGGGAACTACTGTGTATACTTGGTATCCTTGGCCTTACATGCCTCCCATTGCTCCCTCCCCAGTCCCTGCTCCAGGGCTCCCTCCTTGGCCTTCCATGCCTGGCATGGCTGCCTCCCCAGTCCCTTGCCCTGAACTGATGCGATTCAATCCAGCTATCTCCAGTACTCCCCCCCCTGGATTAATTTTGATTTGTGGAAAGATAGGGGGAATTACCTGGTATTCTTGGCCTTGGCCCTGAGCTGGTGTTATTGAATCCAACTATCTCCAGTACTCTCCCCCTGGATTAATTTTGATTTGTGGAAAGATTGGTAGGATTTGCTTTTATTTTGTTGTATTTCTGACTTGCATTGTCTTTTCCATGAACCAGTTTTTATTAACAGTGAGGAACCACGCGGTGAACAGTTCTTGGTCCGAGCAGTTGCCTGCCGAGATCAGCCTGCACAGGCGCGCAAGGGGATGGCAGGCGCATGCAAGAGATGCTTTCAAATGTGCAACAGGGAGAAGCTTGTGAGGCACCTGAAGCAGTGGTGCATGCGACTGGACTATGTGAAGTTGATGCAGTTTGCACAGTCTTCGAACAAGGAACAGCAGGAAGATTTTGCTGCTGAAATGGAACGACGATGGAAGGTGGATGGCAACAGCCTGGCGCAGATGACTTTCAGTGATTTGCTCTTTCTCGCGAAGAATCAGTTTCAGAACATTGGAGTCAAGTATCAGAGTCTTGGTTTGCGTGCCTACATCGACAGAAACTTGTCGTACCTGACCAAGAGCTCGCGCGCTTCAATTCCTCCGGAAGTGAAACCCAAGCTGCAGGCATACCTTGATGCTTTATCCCAAGGAAAGCTAAGCGAGACAGATTTGCGCCTCACTAAAATCATAGCATCTGGAAGCCTGAAGCACGATGCAATCGCACGGGTCTTAGTCCCCAGTCTACTTCAAAAGGCTGACAAGGTGAGGAGGGGAAAGCATTCAAGGTTGGCTGATCGTTCTGCTGTGTTGGATCCAGCCGCGGTAGCAGAGCTGGGATTTTGCCTGGGACATGTTCTTCAGCTACCCCATGTCCAAAGTGCATTCGGACTGGCTCGAGCCTCGCCTTTTTATACAGCAAAAGTATGCAATAGTTAATAATAGTTGCATAATGTTATATAATGTTTTTTGTAATTGTTACTATTTTATATTTTTCTTGTTAAATACTACTTAGTTGATCTTATTTGACTGTAATTCGATAAGCTTTCGACATCTTTGGTATTCTTTGGTGATATCTTGTCTTGGTTACCTCCTGCAAAACCTACCAGGAAGCCAAGCTCGATCCAAGATTGACTACCTCGATCCACAGCTTCCTCATTTCTTTGCAGCGCGGGGTGAGCAGCTGGACCAGGCAGTTGCTGCAGCAATCAAGTTGCTGGACACTGCCCAGTCCAGTTCCTACATGATAGTAAGAGATGAGGTTGTGTACGCCAAGCAGTGGCAACTGGTTTATGACCTGGTTGAAGAAGGCAAGCCCACTTGTGTGGGAGGTATGGCTCCAGACCATTGCCTCATACCACCCCGTGAAGACGACACCTTCCCCACAGTGAAGGCAGAACATTTGGCCTCTGTGCGCGTCTCCACGTGTTTGAAACCTCTCCACACACGAGGGCAGCTCTTCCAGATTCAGCAAGTTCCGAGACATCGCTTGACCAACCAGGACGAAGAATTCGCAGAGGTTGCCACTATTTTGGACAGATGTGCGCAGCAAAACTTTGGTGTTCCATCTACTGCAGTTGCATTTGACGGGCACTTGTCCTTCGAACGGCTGAATGCTACTCTTCTGGGGCTCACCAAAGACTCTGTTGGTGAAAGCTCGCACGCCTTTTTCCAGAAATGCACAGCCTACATCCGGCACAAGCTGCATTTGTTTCCTTGTCAGACTGTGTGGTACGAGAACAAATTTCCAGTCTTCAGCACATTGGATCCAAAACACATTCAAAAGGCCTGGAGGAAGAAACTCTCAGTGTTACACTTCTATTATCTTTTATTCAATCAAGTTTAACCAAGTTTAATCAAGTTTATATATAGTCTAAATTAGATTAAACTTTAGTACATTAGGATTAGGATAACATAGGATAACTTAAAAAGTTTTTTCATCTCATTGTCAGGCTGTGGCAAGATCTCTGCGAACATCTCAAAGGACTTTCAACCTGTTTGGCTACTTCTTTTCGTGGAGTGCTTTGGTGAATGGTGGGCTTCCGGAATCTAGTGCTTTCGGAAAGGATGTGCATGCAGATCGTGAAGCTGCCCGGTGCTTTAATCCGCAGTACCTGCGAAGTTACAATGCATGGGATAGCGTCGGTGCACGTCTCTTCCAGTTTGTCTTCAATTTGGTTTTTGCATCCTGGACCGCCTCTTCCGGATACACTACAGAACAATTGATTCAGAATGCCTTGAGCGCTTACTACATGCTCCTGGCGGCGGGCTGGTATGCCTACAGCAACCATGGCAATAACTGGTATATGCATTTCCTGCCCCGCAGAACCTTCAAGAACCTGGTGTCTCTTGGATGATTTGCTAAGATGCATATATTTTTATTGAATTTTATGAATTTTTTATTTTCTCACAGTGCTGAAGGTCTGACCCACCCCTTGATTAATTTTGAAAGCTTTGGTATGTGACCCTTCCCCCTTCCACAAATGTTGGATCAGGGCAATGGTGTCTCATTTGCTGTTGCGGCTTTCAAGCTACGACGCAAATTTGGTCTTCGAGCCGCGCTGCCAGATGGAGGCTACTGGGATCCCCATTGAGTCAGTCTTCCAATGTGTTTTTAGTGTTTTTTATTGTTTTTATTGCGTTTTTGGATTTTTTGTGATATTCTTTGTATTTTTGAAACATTCCTATACAAATATAATCAAATATATATTTTTTTACATAGACAAAATCTTGCGCTTACACTTTCCCTGCCTCCAGCTCTTAGGACAGCATTGAATTCTTCTTTGGCCAGATAAAGTCTTTGAGACAATCCCATGCGGGGACGTGCAGCATTGGCACTTCGATTGCTGCTGCCTATGTCCTGCACAAGAAGCAAGAAATGTCAAAGACCAAGGCCCGCCTGACTTTTTTCCAGAGGTTTGGTGGGAAGGGCTAAAGGTGCATATATATATAATTGCATGTATATATTTCCTCACGATAGGCTATGTTAGTGTGTCCGCTAGTGTGTCCCACTCCACACGGTGTCACGTCAGTGGATTTTTGCTGCGTTAGCCACTTGCTGCTCGTTTTGCCTGAGCATCTTGCTCGCTACCATCTGTTGCCGTGGCATGGCGGCTTCTGTGGAACTCTTCGAGCCCAATGCCCTGAAAGAAGACACGGTGGGCACAGTACCAGAGGCAGAGTGGTACAAGCCGGAAGAAGACTCCGAAGCAGTACAAGCATTCTGCGCGGAATTTCAGGGAGCCCAAACAGTACACTGTTTGGATGCATTCGGGGCCAGCCGTTCCATGTACAAGCAATGGAACAAAGCTGGCATGAATGCTCGGGCTTTTGATGTGAAGCTCAATCCTCTTGGTATGGACCTGTTGACACGGACTGGCTTTTTCACTTTGTTGACCTTCGGGATGTCTCTGATCAAGGACGCGATGGTGGTGGCCGGATTGCCGTGCCAGTGGTTTGTTTGGCTTTCCTGCAGTGTTCACCGTCGACACGAGCTGGGACCTTTGGGATTGTTGACCCACCCGAAGGTACGTCTCGCAAACCGAATTGTTGATAGCTTTGTCTACTTCATTGAGGTTCTCTCAGGCTTCCGCACATTCTATGTCTTGTTTGAGCAACCCAGGTCATCGTGGATGTTCCAGCTTCCAAGCATGCTCCGCTTGACCAAGAAGCTGAATATGAAGATCGTGTCAACTGCTTTGGGCTGCTTTGGCCACGATCTTGAAAAGCCAACGCGGCTTTTGACAGATGTACCTGGAGCAGAGGCTTTGGCTCGCACTGTCAACAAAGAGCAGCGCAAGAAGATCGCATTGCGGCTTGAGAAGCGCAATGCCAAGAGATCCAAACCCAGGGTCTACTACGAAGTAACTAGCAACGGCCAGAAGAAGACGGTTACAGGATCAAAGGACCTTGCCAAAAGTGCTGCGTACCCCGCAGTGTTTTCGCAAGCTGTGCTGAAGGTTTGGCGCAAAGCCTGGGTGAAGCGGCTGTTTGTCTAGCTATTCACACAGCTGCGATGGGAAATTCAAAGAATTTGCCCCAGGTGGCGCCAAGACCTTTTTGAGCTGTTGTGGTACGTAGTCCAACTTCATCCAATTTCAATTCAATCAAATTCAAGGGCAGATGCTTTGACGCAGGGACTTGATGGGATTTGGTAGTATCTGCTTGACCTTGGGAGTGGTGAAAACAATCAAACACATACAAAGTTGAGCCAACTTGCCGCTTGTTTTGCGCAGTCTTTTTGATTGCGTTTCCAATCTTGTGCAGACGTTGGTGTGCTTTTGCAATCGTTTGCATCATTGGCCATTTGTGTTTTTTAATCTCTCAGTCTTCAAGTACTCACCCCCCTCAGGATTCATTTTTAAATATATATTTTTTGAAAATTTTTGTGGGGGATACTGTATATGCCCAGAGTCAGCTAGGCCAGCATTGCATTTTGCATCGTTTTGCTTTCTGTGCAGTTTGGGGTCAGACAGTAGCAAGCGTGTAGCAGAACAGGCAAGGACAATGGCAAGCAAAGATGTTGGAGCCGACCAGAAGGGTGATTGCGAGAACTCGTCTGACTCCGCCGGTTCGAGCCAAAATCCTCCTGATCAGATCGTGAAAAAGCGCAAATTCCATGAAGCCTTCGTTCTGAGCCGCTCTGATTCAGAAGAAACACTGGTGCTGGGGCAATTCACCCCTCCATCAACGCCTGAATTGTCACCGCCTCGTCCAACCAGTCAGGACGTACCCAAGTTGACCCGAAGTTCCAGGTTTACTGCTGATGCGCTGGCCAAGATGGACGAGAACCCTTTGGATTCATCTTCATAGCCAGGAGGGAACCTGACAAGTTGAAGTGTGGCTTGGTGTGTTGCGATGGCCGGGGGCTTTTCTGCCCAGCTGTGAGCTGCAATCAGGGATTGGGGCTCATACAATCTTATACAGATTAGATCAGATTAGAATTGTGATTGTAGATGACATTACCAAAGCAAAGCAAGCTTGGGGTCGCAGTGCTTTGTTGCAAACCTGGTTCACTGTGTGACTGATGTTAATGGTGTGTGTTTTTAACTGGATGCTACTGCGCGCCCAAGCCCACTTCATTCAGTTTGTGTACAGTGCCATCGATTGCCATGGTCGACCTGCGTACAGTAAACTGGAAAAGAATCAACTCACCACCATCAAGTGGCGCAGCGTGTGCACAAATCATCAAAAATAGAATTCGAATATTTAATTCAGGTCTGAACAAGTGCTGAACCACCCCAGGATTTATTTGTCAATATGTTTTTAGAACTACATAGAACTATAATATTTTCACATTTCCCCTTTCCCCTTAGACTAGTCATTGGAGTAGTCAGAGGCTGCAGACAAGCCAAACAAAAGAATCCAAGGGTCTCCAACTACTGAGGGGCCCCTGGATTAATTATTGTAATTCCTGTGTGTGCAGGCTGGCAGCAAAAGAGTTCTGGGCAATGTGGAGTATGACCTGCCGCTCATGGCCAGCGTTGCGCTATCAGATGTTTGCCGATTCACAGCAGTGTTGCTGAAGGCAACTGCCCCAGAGACCATTCGAGTGCATATCCAGGAATGGTGGCGTGATGTTGGAAGGCATCAACTACTTCCGGCGGGTGGCGATGACAGCTGCGATCCAGATTGCAAATTTGAGGATGGGGACCAACTATCAGATGAAGAGGGGGCAGACGTAGAAGAAGAAGGAGACTTAGATGTGCCAGAAGAGGAGTGCCTTCCCAACACAGCTGAAGAGCACGAGCTAAAGGTTGCAGCTTCCATGTCAGCAGTGGAGGATTTGGCTTTTCTGGAGAAAGAATTCAGTGAGGTGAGTAAATCACCACCGCCGGACATTCCAATGCTTGATGCTGAGGATGTCGAGAAAGAATCAGAAGCAGAAACAGATGAGGAAGCCACAGAAATTCACAGCCGAAAGCAGATCAAGCTCCATGAGTCCAAGAGTGAGATTCGCACTCTTCGTGATGTTCTTGACGCAGCTGACCTCATGACCTTCAAAGCAGCAGAGAAGGAAACTGATCGGCAAGTGCTCAAGCGGGTTGCCAGGTTGTCAGATGCCATGGCACTCTTCGGAAATCACATGAGAATCTCCGAAGGTATCTTGAGCAAGGCATCAGTTCTCTCCAGGAGAATCCATCGGGAATACAATAAGCTGGAGAACCAATTAGCCTTAGCAAGAGCTGCTCACCAATGCAGTGCGCAAAGGCAATCTCGGATGGCTTTGTGGGCAAACTTCTCTGATAGGGTTCTCCAGGTGGCCTCAGAAGCAGGGGGTGCTGCGGCCAAGGTTGCTCGTGTTGGGCCACCAAAGGTGTGTGACGATGGGCCGGAGTACCAGCTCTTGGCCATCAAGCCAGGCCATGCAGGGAGTGCTTCCAACAGCATTCGCTTCGGGATTCCTGTTGGTGTTTGCTCGCCGAACAGTGAAGTCGGGACAAAAGGTTCTTGCCTCTGGCACCTTGCCGATGGACCTCCTCAAGCGCATTCATGTCCTTCTCCTGATTCCTCAAAAATCTGAGGGGAGTGGGACCATTTTGCGTGCTTCGCCGCTTGAATATTCAATTATTTATGTAATTTTATGCACATTCAATCACATTCATTGCTTTAATTTGTTTTATCGTGTTTTCATTTGTTTTCCTATTTGTTCCTTATTGTTCCATATTTTTCCTTTATTATCAACCATTTTCAATAATGTTTCTCGCCTGAGTTTGAGTCCAGGAGTTTGAGTCCTATGGTTGCCTTGAGCCCCCATGATGGTTCCATCGTCTACGAGGTTCCAAAGGCGGAGTTCAAGTGCACATGCGACAAGGAGTTTGCACCGAGGAGAGAATGAATGCACTTTTTTTACTTTTTTATATGTTTTTGTCTTCTCAGGTTTTCATATTTTTCCCGCATTGTGGCTCTGTGATGGATGCGTTGTATTGCGTTGTTTTGTTTTGAATTGTTTTGAGGTTTCGGTGACGCTGACTGAGAATGCGATGGAGACGTGGGTGCATGTTGGCAAGAGCAGTGTGCCGTTTTCTGAGAAGAAGACAGCAGACGCGGGGGATCAGAAGCATGTCTACATTTCTGAGTTTGAAGTGGAGCAATCGTCTACAGGAAGGGCAAACCAGAAGAAATTTGTGCAGGCAATGGTGCGTGATTTTGAACAATATCATTGGAAGATCCTGCGGTCCAACGGCATGTTGAAGATCAACAAGACACTCAGTGTCAGGTATGAGGAGCTGTTGATGCAGGTGCCAGGATATCTTCAAAAAAGATATGCCAGGAACTCAAGCTTTTGGAAGGCCCCAGCGTCAGACAAAACTCTGACATTTGGGGCTCTTGCGTTAAAAGAATTGCAGGCTTTTAC